GTCCTCATTTGCTGTTAAATTGTTCCACACATCATCCATCACAAGTTTGTCAATCTCGAATGTCATAAACATTGTTTCAACCTCCTTGGATTCAAAATCATTCACGAACATTGTACTCTCACTTTCATCCTCTTTCCTTTTCTTGCAGTACTTCATTGTATGCCCATACCTGTGACAAAAGAAGCATTGTGTTTCTGATAAAGGTCTTCCACGTCTTTTTCCATTGGAAGGCCCTTCACCATATTTATCTTTGTTATGATCTCCATAAGAATTCCTTTCATAATCCTTTTCTTTTGAAGGAACTTGTGAATGAAAAGCTTGTTCCATAGGACCATCATCAAAGTTTCTCATTCGTAGTTTATGGGACTGAAGTGTCCCCAATAGATTTTCCAAATAAAGTAATGACAAATCCTTTGACTCTTCGATGTCAACCACAACATACTCAAATTTCGAGTCAAACTCCAAAAATCTTTTCTATGATTCTTTTATCTTCAACCCCCTCCCCATTAATCCTCATTTGATTAGTGATGGTAATCACACGGTTATATAAGTCTTCAACGGACTCGTATTCCCTCATCTTAAGTCCACCGAATTCACAACATAATGTTTGCAAACGTACCATGTTAACTTTATCTTCTCCTCGGTAAGTCTTGTAAAGTGTGTCCCATGCCTCCTTTGATGTTGAAGACGAAGAGATTCTTTCAAAAATTACTTCATTCACAGCCTGAATTTTTAAGAACAATGCTTTTTTGTCGTTCTTCTTATTTTCTTTCAATTTGATGTTTTGTTGGGCTGTCAAAACGGTTGGTGTTGCAGATTCTTTAACGCCATCTTCAACCACACTCCAAAGTTCTTGAGACTCAAAAAACACTTGCATTTGAATGCTCCAATGGTGATAGTTCCTTCCGTTTAATTTTGGAAGTTGTTCCTGAAAAAACATTGTTATTCGGAGCCATTAGATTTTTAATCTTTCCTATGTTTTTTGTTTTCGGTTTCCTATGATCTTGAACACGGGCTCTGATACCACTTTATTGGAACAAATTAAAGAACACAAAATTGCAGGAAAGATTATTGGAAGAATTCCATGAAATGAAATAGTTTTATACACAAATTCACAAGTCTTTTTTCATATATCCACATTTTACATTAGATACTTACACACACATATATATATATATATATACTATATTATAAATCGTTTGACAAAAACTCTTAAAAATCATTTTTTATACATGAAGTACTGTTTATTGATGCATATTACTTAAAATTCAAGATTAAAGTAAATTGTGCATAAGTACAACTTATTAAAGCTTTATGTTTGAATTCGTGTAACTAACTGCGGATAAACATAATCAAATTGGATAAACATCTCATTTTAAAATATAAAAAATCTAAAATATAATTAGGATAATTATTGAGTTCTAATAGAATACTTAATTATTATCTTTATAATAAATATATTATTTAAACCTAAATTAAGTTACTTTGTTACGTTAAATTAAATTATAATAAAAGATTTGAATTAAAAGAATATACAAACAAAAACTTTTAAATAGTTAATTTGATACTAATATTAATATATTTTTTGCAAATTTTATACGATATTTTCAAATTTATATTTTATTCAAAAATAAAAACATTATCGTTTCCTCAAAAACACATAAAATCGTATTATATCGACACAAATAAAAAATAAAACGAAACATTGAAATGTAAATGTGTCTCGATGCATCGGACGAGTACCATTCTAATATATATATACACACGGACCATGCAACAATTATTTTCTTAACCAACACAATGGTCGGTAAATAACTTCCGATAACTGCCACAAATTATAGGTAAACAATACTACTTATACATAACCATATCACACCTCTAGCTTATAGTTTTGAACAAAGAAGAAAGAGTAAGAGACGAGCATATACCGAATCTTTCGTTGCTGAACAAGATTGTAACATGCAGACATGTACAATTGTAATTTGGTCTTGAGAATGCCAACACGTTTGGGTGTTGTCTAGTGAATGACTAAGGTGCGTCAATGAATGGATTACAACGGTTTCAATCCCTCTACTGGTGTTTGTGGGGTCTTTCAAGAAACCAATTTTCAATTCTTAATTAAGTTGACCAAGGAAGGGCAAGATATGGTGTTTTATATCAACAAGCTACATATATATATGTACACACAAAATATCTGTATCTTAAGATCAATCAAGAACCATTACAACTTCTAATTTACAAGTAGTCAAATGCATCAGTAATCATAATCAAGTAATTACCAACAATTAATTTGCACTTACATCAATGCATCATTGCTCCAGCTCCCCATTTTTTAGTTCCAGCTGCTGTCAAGATCCCCTACTGGTTTGAGTAATTAGTAATACACCTGTTGAAGATTTGATCTCTAATTGCATGACAATCCTGCTGCTCATGAAATATAGTAAGTTTTGGTTAAGAGAGGTATACAGTTTGAGAGCTTGAATCTCTTGATTGCTTTGATGTTTATCGACCCTTTTTGCATTTCTTTTTAAATTATAATCACTTTGTGGTTCATTTTCACTCCAACAATCTGACAACCTGATTTAAGTGTTAGGTTTGAAGGACTTACTTGACAGTCACACGCCATACCCATCATCAGGAATTATTTAATGTCTTCAAGTCATTATCAAGCCTCTTAACTCCCAGTTTTTCTTGTCCTTTCTCTAGCTCTTGCTCTTGCCTCTGCCCTTGACCGGTCTCTTGCAACATTATTCACTTGAACTCCAATTTGCATTTTCACCTAGTTTTCTTCTTTTTACCAGCAACACACTTGGGTACTGACTTTGCCTTTTTGCCGTTAGTTTCAACTGATCCTCCATTAATGGCTTCAAGAAATTTCAGTTAACATTGTTAGGTAACATGGAAAATGAGGAGTTGCCCAATCGAGGGTTTTGCTAGCTTTTTCAAACCCTAGCAAATCTTTGAGGGTACTACTGAAGAACTTTCGAGCGACCTCAGCAGAATCTCACCCTCCGATCCCTAGGGCCACGAGCTCTGTAGATCTTACTATGTCCATACTTCTTGGAGGCCCCAGTTTTCTTCTTATGGCGAAAAATTACCGAATCTAAAAGTTCATCATGATCTTCACAATTCTGCAACCTTGATCTTTCAGAAAACTGATTCCGGCTGCCGAACAAAATCTTGTTTGAGTGAAGTGACATTCTCCATGAACGGAGGAGGGAGAGCAATACTGTTGCCGGCATGAAAAGAATGTTCACCGGAGATAAATGGGTCACCGTCGTTCCTCTTGTGGTAGTTAAAGTGAAAATCATCTTTTTTCTGGTCGAAGAGGAGGAAAGACATTGATGGATGTGGGAAGATGTGGATAAGGATTTGAGAAAAACAATGTAATCCGCAAAAGATTCATTAAATCTTTGGGTTTAACTGGATCTTTGAGACCCTCTCTCTCTAGCTTTTGTCATTTTTTTAGCTAGGGCACAATTAGGTAGCCTGTAGATCATGGTACTTTCCAACCAAACATAAAAAGTAATTGGTACTTAAAAGAGAAAGATAAGCATAGGGATACATGATCGAATCTATGACCTCGAAACTATATATCACCAACATGGTGTTCAAATCTCATGTGATCGAAGTAGATGCTTTGATGGCTAACATTAAGTATACACATTTCACCAAAGGGAAAACAACAGATAGTTAAATCCATGTAGGAAGATCATAGAGCCATTTTATAGCGTTGGTTCGTTTGATCTCCTCTATATAATTCTGAAAGAGTGATCATGCAATCACACTTTCTTTCTTGAGAACGCTGGCTGCAGGTTTTGAATTGAACCCACATGGTCGAGAGGTTCTTGAATATTAGTTTACAAGCAGTACATTGGTTCTTAAATAAGAACTCAAGTTCTTAACTAATGTGTCTTTGAACTTCTTTTTTTAACTATTGACTGTATTTTATTTTATTAAGCTTATAAATATATAAATTTTACCAATATAGAATAGCTCCATTGGGATGTCGGTGTACCTGTCCCGACGTGGCGGAGATTCTCCGCAAAACCGAGGATGGGGGCAGGTAACGTGAACCCCAACCCGTTCCATTCTCGTATATTAAATATATTATTTGTAAAGAATAAGATTTAGTATTTTTTAGCTTTAACAAGAGTATTTTTATCTTTCTTCTTATACCCATTTTTCTGACATTTCTTACTAATTTTAGATAAAAAAAACATTGAGAGCCAAAGGCGTTTTGATCAAATACATATTAAGTTATGAAATTGTTCACATATAAACATTTGATACTCGATAAAACCAAAATTCTGGAAATATGTGAGATCTAAACCTGGACCATTATCGATCGAATGTGGTATTCAAAACATTTGATTTAAAATAAATCACATAAACAGGAAAAAAATCTGATTCCCCGTTGCGGGGATCCCGTTGGGAACATGGATGAGGATGTGATCATATTTCCTAGCTATGAAAGGGATTCAGATGGGGACGAAGATTGTGATCGAGAGAACATGGATGGAGATTGGGGTTCCCTCTCCCCATCCCAATGCCTAATATGGAAAGGAGTAAACTACAATTTTGGTCCTAAGGTTTAGTGAAAATTTTGAAAGTAGAACCTAAATTTCGATTAGTTGAATTTTCATCATTCAAGCATGTATTTTGCTGCGAAAGTGAGACCTGTCCGCTAACTTTGTCTATTAGGACGGTCGTTAGAACCAAGGGTAAATCGTCAAAACCATGTTTTAGGTCCCACTTTGAGAAAGCAAGCAAAACTCTTCTTAATTTGTTAAATTGACGATAATGTGACGATGAGAAATGCAAAAAGAAGTTATTGTTGGTCAAATTAATGCTTGAATAATCATAATCAAACTACAAAATCTACTTATACATCATTAGAATATTGCTACAGCTCCATCATTAATTAATTAATTAATTACAGCTGATCCATCACTAGCTAGCTAGGCTTCTTCTGTCAAGATCCCCTAATCGCAGGATGATCACCTGCTGCTCATAAAATAGTATTCTAGATTTTGGTAAAGGGAGGTATATAAAGAGCTTGAATCTTTTGATTGCCTGGACATTTGTTCTTGATCCATTATGCATTCCCATCTTAAGTTTTTATAATCACTTTGTGGTTGATCAATTTCACTCCAACAGCCACCTGAATCCATTAGGCTTAGCTTCGAATCAGGAACTAAGTCGTCATCATCAAGCTTCTTAACTAGCATTTTTGCTCTTGTCCTCTCTCTAGCTCTTGCTCTTGCCTCTGCCCTTGACTGGTCTCTTGCAGCATTATTCACTCCACATCCAGCTGTGCATTTTTGCCTGGTTTTCTTTTTTTTGCCGTCACCACATTTGATTACTGACTCTTTCTTTCCAATTATAGTTTCCAGAAATTTCTGTCTAGATTCATCAGATGAGGCCTGGTTTGTTTCTTCAACCAGTTCCTTAATAGCGGTCACAGAATTGGTAAGAAGCCAATCGAGGGTTTTGCTTGCTCTGTCAAACCCTAGCAAGTCTTGAAGACCAAAGAACTTTTGAGCGATCTGAATGGAGAATCTCACCCTCCGATCCCTAGGGCCTTGAGCTGTGTTGATCTTACGATGCCCATCTTTCCTAGTGGTCGCCACCATTTTCTTCTTATACCGAGAAACTACCGAATCTAAAAGATCATCATGACCATATTCTTCGCAATTTGGCAACCCTGAACTTTCAAGAAAATCTTGACTGATTGTAGTAACATTCTGCATTACCGGAGGAGGAGGAGGAGGAGCTGTATTGTTGTAGGCATTAAACAAAGATTCGCATGGGTCGTGATGCATCTGGAGGTATTTAAAGTGATCAACATCATATAATTCATGGTTAGAGAAAGAATTGAGAGGAGGGAAGACATGATTGGTGGATGAGGGAAGATCATGTGGAAAACTAGAATTTGGTGGAAACATATTTATAAATGAAGATTTCATGAAATAATCCGGTATCACTACTAGAAAAAGGGGTACCACCGACGACGACGGTTATCACCGAACAACGGCATAAAAGTAATTTGGGGTTAACTGGAATTTTGAGAGCTTTTCTTCTGTTGGTTTTGTGGTTTTGTAGTGACCATCTTCTTTTAAGTGTACAAAAAAGTAATATGAGTTATTATGGTACTTGTTTACCAAATTAAAAAAGTTATCTGCTACTGAGACAGAGAAAATTGATTGGAGAAGATGAGTCAAAATACACAGAGTGGTGGGTACGTACACCCAAACAAGACAGTCCAAAGAACTAATAAACACCTCATATTTATCCATTGGTTCTAATCCGATTAATTTATATGAATATTTAATTATTTATAATATATTAATGCTTATAAAATTATGTCTGCCGTTGTATAATTGTATTTATAACGAGTAATAATTGGCTGACATTAATATTTTGCCTTGCATCATTTGTAAAGTTAGGAAGGATTTCTAGCTGATTTGCTGGTTTTGATAGCCAACTAACTTTGAAACTTAATATCGCTATCAAAAACCATAAAAAGGACCAGACCAGTAAACGGCCCTGACCAGTACGCAATTAAGAATGGTAAATAACATATCAACAGTACTTAATGCCATCTGGTGATGTGGAAATGCTACTGTCATTATTCACATGTCTAAAAACGTTTTCATCATATCTTCTTTTGGGATACAAAACTTCACTTTTACTGACCTTTAACTGTTTGATTAGCAAGTGTTTATGAGATAAATAATTAATTAAAGTAACTTCGACACAGTTATTTTCGTGTGCGTGGATGTAATGACCTGCACGTTGCGATAGCTTCGGGATATATATATATACAATGAGAGTCGACACTAATTGGGTATATGAGAGTTACTATGGATAATTAAATTAGTCTCTTTCCGTTAATCTGTTTTATGAAGAGTGCATTTTCTGAGTGATTTAATAAAAAAATAGGCAAATGACATCCAAAAAGTCGATATGCAGTTCCGAATAGGATCTCCTTAAACGAGTGTTTGTGATCAAATTGCATGCAGGAATACCTGTTTTTGCTGCAAGGTTAGTTGCACTCAATCTGCTTACAATATGGTTTCATTGTTCCAACACCATAAATTTCTAGCTAAAAAACTAGTCTCATGACATTTTGTGGTAAGTTTGGGGGGTTTTCACTGTTCTTGAGCATCAATTCATCTTTCCCTAGAAGAAAAATATGCAATAGCATTACCTATTAGATTAGACAAACGGTTTCAAATTAAATATAGATTAAGTCGGATTCTTTCTTGAAATTTGTAAAATTCATATCAATTTAATTGGAAATGTATGAAATACAAAAATGAAGTTTAATTATTTGGATGGATGGATGGTGGTATTTTGATGTTGAAAGAGTACTTCAAATTAGGTAAATGAGTTTAAATCTTTGGCAATTGCTTTTCCTAAATCAATCATAATATCGTTGCATGTGAAACTTCCTCATTTAATTGATTTTCGTAATCCATCACTTCAAGATCTAAATCATTGAATTGTTACTCTACTATACTGCTCATGATCTACAGTAAATTTAGGCAGACTGTTGGACGAAAATCTCGTCTGATAACTATACAACATAGAAGATAACATTGAAAACTGTTGTTCCATACTTGATTCTGAAGGAAGTCACTGTAAACACTCTGTGATTCAATTTGATCCCAAGAAGCTTGGTTGGGGTGCAGAGTTATCATCCGGAACTTTAGTCCTCCTTTCCTTGACCTTGCTCTTGCCTCTGCCCTTGATTAATTATCATGAAATTAGATTTGTATTTTTGTGTCATCTTCCTCCTTTTGCCACCAACAAGTTAACTTCTTGACCCCTTTATATTCAACTGATTGATCCTCAGGTCCCTTGATAGTTTCTAGGAGCCAATTCACATGGATGAGTACTAACAGTGGAAGATGAGGAGTGCTTTGTTTCATCAACCAACTCCTTGATTGCTGTCTTTTGTACTTGGTAAACAACCAATCAAGGGTTTTGCTTGCTTTGTCAAACTCTAGGAAATCCTGAAGCCAAAAAGACTTTTGTGCCATGCCAATGGACAATCTCACCCTTGGATCTCTAGGGCCTTTAGCCTTGTAGATTTTACGATACCCATCATCTTGGTAGTCGCCATTTTCTTCTTAGAGGGATATATAAACTACCAGAGTTCGTCTCAATCTTTTTGGAGACACTATTGTACTCATACTAAAACTATAAATTGTCTAAAATTAAGTAATAAACAAATATATATATATATATATATATATATATAAGTTTATACCGTATTAAAAATTTTACAAATTAAAACAACAAAATGTTTAAAACGACAAAAAATCGAAGGATATTGAAAAGTCGTTTTTGTTTTTAGCAGCAAAATCATTATAACCAAGATTTAGCATGCTAATAAACGGCCAGAGGTGCCCAAACTCTTGAAGATCATTATAATCATCAGAATATAACAAATCCAGGGTCAGAAAGCAGCTGCTGCTTCTTCCTAACCAAATCTTTCTTTCCAAAAAGTTGGTGAGTGGATAGTGCATATGCTCTGAGGTGGTGGAGCAACACTGTTGTAGGCCGGCATGAAAAAAACAAATCGCCGGAGACAAATAGTTTACTCTTGTGTCCATGGTGGTTGAAATAGACACCATCTTTTTCAAGGTCAAAGAAGGGACTGATAGGAAGGGAGAGGGCATTAATATGGGAAAACATTGTGTAAATCTGGAATAATGATAATAACAGTTAATTAAGAAGTCTTTCAATGTAATTTGTTTTGTTAGAATTTTGATCATATTAAGTATTTTTTTTAATTTAAAAAATAAGGGGCGAGAGATTTTATAATTTTAAAAAAAAAGTTGTAACCGTCTCTTTAATCACATCTATTCAGTCAATTAATCTAATGATTGATGGTGTGTTTTTTGGTTATTTATTTTATTAAGGTTTCCCCTCCCCTCTCTATATATTTGTACATGTATAATCAAAATTTAAAAAACTAATCAATGATTAAAACATACAAAAGTTAATTGAAAAGTGATTAAAAACAAAAATGGAAGTTAAGATTCACGCCTAAGAGATTTGACTTTTTATTTTCTTTTATAATTAAAATTTTTTTATCCTCTTAATTTTAAAATAATTAATATTTTAATCAAACAAATTATATCAAAAAATCGAGAATTTTATTCTCTTTGATTTGGAATCTATCTCGATAAAGTTTTGTTTTATGTTTTTAACGTTTTTTTATGTCAAATAATATATTTGTGTAATATTCATATGTTTACAACAACTCTTTAATATTCATATATTAATATTCATCATAAATATACAAGTTAGTATAACATCCATCATGAATATATGTTTTCTTTATAATATTCATAATGATACATTTTGAATACTAAAGCAAATTTTTTGTACCATTAAATTTCACGAATGAAACTGTTTCACCATTTCATCTACCGAACTCACGTGACTCCTTGTCACCTACAATGAGTTAGATATATCCTAATAAATTATGAAATATAAAACATACTATGATCAACTAAAAATAATGAAACACTTTGAATACTAAAGCAAATATTTTGTATCATTAAATCAATGAACGAAACTGTTTCACCGTTTATACAACGAACTCACGTGACTGTCATTAAAGAAAGACCGATTGTCATGTAGCGTTGAACGATGAAACATATAAAGAATGAAACATTTTAAAAAATTTAATAAGACATTTTGAAAACTGAATATTATTTTACTTAATGAATGTTTTTCATGTATAAAACGTTCCAAAATATTGTGAAATTGTTTGCTGGTCATTATTGAACATGAAATTAGTTTCATTACTTAATGTACATATATTTTTTCAATGAAACAGAACACATATTTCATATTCTACTGCTTTTAAAATTTATATATTTATAAAATATAATGGTAAAAAATAATAAAACACATTAATGGTAAAACATTTATATTAAAAAGAAATTATTTACCTCCTTCTATATGAAACGTTTCTAAAATTAACAGTATTTATTACCTTCCAATATTAATCAATATACAATGAAATGACTATTACACCTTAATGATTAAAATTAAAGAAAAAAACGGAATTTTCCTATTGGTCGGAAGTGGTTTGCATAGTTTTCATGAATTGAACGGTTTGCAACGTAACCCATATATATATATATATATATATGTGTGTGTGTGGGGGGGGGGGGGCATTCAAGGGAGAACTGACTAGTTTATGGTAATCGTGAGATCCAATCTCAACCACAAATCAATAGATAAATTAGAAAATTTATAATTTTGGTAATTTTGAATTAAAATTTTAATGCAATGACATTTTCGGTATTATGTCTCCTCTATCCCCTCTTCTCTCTTCGTCCCTCGTCCTCCGTCCTCCGGTGATACCACTGTGATATCTAAAAATATTGACTCTGTTAAACAAAAGACACAGTGTGATACCCARACACATATAAGATGCATTGTGATACCACTGTGTTACATTTCCGATCGACCACACAAACGACCTCAGTGTGATACCTAAACACATATAAGATGATTGTAATACCACTGTGGTATCACCGGATGATGGTGGTTGGAGGACGGAGAGAGAAGAGAGGAGAGAAGTGAGAAGAGAGTTTTAAAATACCAAAAATGTCCTTGTATTAAAATTTTAATTCAAAATTATAAATTTTCTAATTTATCTATTGATTTGTAGTTGAGATTGGACCTCACGGTTACCACAAACTAATTAGTTATCAGACCCATATATATATATATATATTATATGGTCAGATTCATAAAAAAAATCGTAAAAACTAAAAAACTGAGGTACACCGTAATAGTCATTTACCTTAGCAGTATGCATATGCGTAGTACTACTACAAAAAATTGAAGTTGATTTTTAATTTTTATGCATGTATCATGTTATGTTATGTAACTATGCATGGGACAAAATAAGTTTTGAATTAATTTGAATATATATCATTCACTTGTTTTTTTTCCAAGGCATTTTGTATATATCACGTAACTAATGGTGAAATTACAAAATAATCCCCATTACAAAATGATCACCTAATTAATCAGTACGTAAGTCTTTATTTTGAAATGATTTTGTCTACTCATAGAATGTAACCTCGTTTTCAAAATTTATTGTAACATGATAGTTAGATTTTATTGCATTTTCTTATTGAAAAATAAAATTTGAAATTTATGTAATATCTAGCAGTATTACTATTTGAATATGTTTATAAGTTCGTTTTATAAATTCCCCTCTTATTGTTAAATGTATACTTCCCCTATAATTAATTTTCCTCTTCACACATGTCATACCTTTGTTATACATTTTCAATGTATGATTTGACCTGAAAACTAGTGCACATAGCTATGCATTTTGCCATCTTACATTTTCTCACTGTGTTGTAAATGTTAAAAAAGCTACATAAGTATTAGAATGTTTCAATTATGAGTGTGCCGATCTAAGGAATACAGTGTCTATTGTTTGTTGTTGGCGAAGAGGTTGTAACTTTCGTGCAAAAAATAGATAAAAATGACTTTTAAATTCCAATCTGGTTTTTGTATGTCTTAAAAATGTATTTAGATTTTTATATTACATGATTTTTACATTAGATTTTTTTTTTTCAATTTACTTATCGTGATAACCACAGTTTAATTTTTTTTTTTTTATCCATACAAGTAATTCTTTTGGAATGTTAATGCATAATAATGGAATTGAATGCATATAGAATCAACCTTATCTTATCAAAGGACTATCAGTATAAATATATCTTACATTTTTGTACATAGGAAGTGATGTTCAATAATAAATGTGTATGTCGGATTCAGTATTATGTTTTTAATAAAATATTAAATCGAACCAAGTCTAGTAAAGAATAAAATCTTTTTGGATGTCTTGTATGAATGTAAAACATTAACGCTTAAATCCAAGCTAATTTTCTACAACTATATTTGACCAAACGTTTATTTGACGTAGAGAAACTAATCCAATTTGGAGTTGTGCAAATTGATGAATCATAAATGAAAATGATTTAATTCCAAATTAAGGTCATTGTGCATCCTAGTAAAGCTATGAGTCTGTTTGTTAGTTGTTAAATGGTTTGATACAAAATGATTAAGTGGTTCAAATGATTAAAAGGCTCTCATGATATAGTGAAAAATGAAATATAATTGTTTGGTAATTATTTACAATGAAATTAGGGCATTGAATGATTAAGGGAGTCACAAGATACAAAATCATTCAGAGGGTTTTAGATTTTAGAACCATTAAGAAAAAAAAAAAATTTGTTAAACAAGATTCACCTCTTAACGATTTAGATATTGTCTCTTAATGAAACTATTAAGAAGTAAACAAACAATCCATATGTAATATGATTAGATCTATAAACATATCTTGCGATCTTCCTTTAAAAAGAGTAATGATTAATATTAACAACGATTCATTTGGAAGCCTTATATAATAAAGATGTGAAAAGTATATAAATGACAATTCTGATTAGAATGATTAGTATTATCAATCACTAAATTTTATAAATTTGTAATCATGCTATAATGATAACGTTGGTTGATGGTTTTGTTAATTATATATCAATTTCTGGTTCTTTTAGTTTAAAAATAAATCCTTTCACCTTATGTTAATTTTATAAATGTTCAAACCAATTTATCTAGAAAGAAACTATATAAATTAATATAATTTGTTATTCGGTTAACCGATATGGGAAATAAACGAAATTGAAAGTTAACTTATTTGGTTAACTGAACCGGTCAACCTGCAAACCGAATAGCCCATCGTTTTGATTAGAGTGAGTTATTCGGTTTTGGATTTTTTTATACCAAAAGGCTCCCAGTCACCTAATAAATTTATGATTTTATCTTGATTCCTAATATAAAGTTATGATCATGATGAATGAATCTTATCATCTTTCATATATATTTTAATGATAATCAATAAATCATATGATAATTGTCCATAAATATTTTTATTGTTTCCTAATATAATGGTTTGTTGGAATTAGATGGTTTGCAAATGAAACAAACCATACACACACACACACATTTAAAAAGTGATAAGTATTTGAGAAGTATAGAAGTGATCATAGTCTTTTATTTGGTCAAGATTTGTGACTGTGAATGTGAACCACCCAATAATTTCTCATATGGTATACGAAAGATAGAGGACTAGTTTCATAACTTTTACATATAAGTGCAAAACAAGTGCATATGTGAACCCCTATAATTCACATATAAATTATATATTCATATGTGAACCCATATAATTCACATATAAACTATTTAACTGATTCATTTATATATGAGTTATTAACTGATTCACATATGAACCTGTGTGATTCACATATGAACTAACTAACTGATTCACATGAAAATTAATTAACTGCTTACATATAAACTAGGATTTACATATGTAATTGTTTGTCGCATATTAATTTTTGGTTTTTAATAATAACTTTTGTAGAGAAACCAAAATTAAAAGAACAAGAAAGGGACACTTTCTTTCATCTTTCTGGAATAAAGCTCACTGCATGGTACATGTCATGTCAAATTCGAATAACTTATTGTCTGTTTATATGTTGCAAAACTAATTGTTTTTTTCTTAATATATTTTATTTTATTTGGATTTTGTTTATTTTTTATTAAAACATAGGTTGTGAGGTTTTTTTAATTTAAAAAATATTGGTATACCTGTACATTTAACCATATCTATTAGATAAGTTAATAATTAAATAATCTGACAGGTGTTTTTAACTTTTTATTTTTTTAGAGTTCTCCGATGAACCTTCTTATATATAGACGGAAGTTTAAACGAGAACCCATCTGTTTTGCGAAAATAGTTAAACAGTTGTGGGCCTCCGAATTAATTAACCCATGATTTAAATTACAATAAAAATAAATGATTGAGGGCCGGTAGTAGTGTAATTAGCTATTTTCATAATTTTAATTTATGGTATTTTAATTAACTGTAATTATCCCGTAATTTTTGAATAGATTCTAATACTAGATTGTGTTACATTTAAATCGGCTAATAACTCAGTTTTAGAAGCCATGCTATAAACGTGTGAAAAAAAATAGTTTTTGATGAAGAAAAAAATATGTAAGAAAATATTTATATATCAGTCCTAACAGGTTTATAATATTTTTATGGTTCTCATTTAATTACTATATCCCCTTCTCTCTCTCTCTCTCTCTTTATATATATATATATATATATATATATATATATATATACATATACTATCTTATAAAACATTTGACAAAAACTCTTAAAAACTCTTAAAAACAATTTTTTAAGCCTTAAATACTGCTATATTATAATGCTAATTACTTAATTTTTAAATTTACAAGTTCTTAATGCTTAGTTACAAGTATATCAATCCCTTGATTCATATCCTCAATTGTGTAACTTTATTCTCCAAGTGTCCATTGTCTTACCAAAAATATACATTAATTTGTTATGTGTTGGAATCACTTTTCACCTCCCACTTTGGTATAGAAATACACTGAAAAGGGGCAATATGACTAATAACCTCATGTCCATTCCACCCAAATATCACGGCTTGGGTTGCAGGTCTGTCATATTTGCCATTTTCCACCATAGCTATGAGATCCCATGTTGCCCAGGCAATTGCTTAGACATTGGATATATCCATATCAAACTTCATTTAGAAACTGAGAAAAGTTAAATACATAGTCGAGCATTGTTACTACTTTTGATCGAAGTCTATAAAGAAATAAGATTAGCTACTACTTTTAAACTTTCTGCTGTATACACTCTTGGCAAGATTGGAACTGTTCATCTAATACCATTTTCCAGTCAAATGAACATGAGTAAAAGGTCTTAAAAATCTGAGCAGAGATATATTTATATATCATTTGTTATTCATGCTCAGTTTTTGTTGGTTCGATAGATCGATAAAAGGGTCTATCATATGGCCTTCTTTCAGGTAATTTTTTAAGTTTTTAACTTGAGAAACATTATAGAGCTTAGTACCAGACTTGTGATGCTGAAGACATGATGCTTGGGTAGGAACATAAGTCATGTACACGATTCCCTCCACCACCTTTTCTTTAATAAAATGTCTATCCACTTTCACATGTTTGGTYCAGTCATGCTGACAGGATCAAGAGATATATTAATCGTTGCTTCTTTATCACAATAATGCTTGGGGCTTCAATCATAACTTCGAGTTCTTTTAGGATCTTCCATAGCCAAAATGCCTCAAAAATTCCCTGAGTAACCCCTCTAAATTCTTCCTTGGCACTCTTCTAGATACCACATTTTGTTTCTTACTCCTCCCTGTTTTGGAACCATTCACCCTTTCCCCAAGCAAGCATAGGTAGAATCCCAATCAAGATGAATAGTTTACAGTCAACTCAATATTGGCAAAATCCCCCCATCTAATATATTGATTATCTTATAGTGCACCCTTCATCGAAATCAAAAGAGAAGGAGTTGAAAGACCCACCTTTGAATAAAGCCTTTAGGTTGGGAACCTCGCTTAATATCTTGATTCTCTTGTAGTGCACCCTTCAATCGAAATCAAAAGAGGAGTTGAAAGACCCACCTTTGAATAAAGCCTTTAGGTTGGGAACCTCGCTTAGCTTATTAGTCCCTGTATACTAGATTCCCACATACAAAAGTATGTATCCAGAAGTAGACCTCTTAACTTCGATTCACTCGGCCCAATCTGCATCCTGCATAAGATTCTATTCCTTTGCAATTACTTTTCTTATGCATCTGTATAGGTTTATAGGCGGAGTCAAATGTGTAAAGAGATTTTTAAGAGCCTGTATTGCTAGAGATTATATCATTTATTATCTTTATTTTAACACTGCAAAGAAATTACACTTAGTTATATATATTTGATGAGGTGAAATCCCTTCCAAATGAACAAAATATAAATGAATAAAAAGGCAATATGGTTATATCGAATACMKATGTATTTTTGCTATAAAATTTGGTTKTATATTTAGTGCAACAAGASTGTATAGAAATGCAMTGAAAAGGGGCAACGGTGCTGGGATTTTTGGGGTTCCGAGATAGCTGAATTTTATCAAYTTTTTGYTTGAAACTTCGCCAATACTAGAGAGRATGACTGTTAAACCTGCTTCTCAAGAGGGTGGGTGGGAGTTGATGAAAGAATTGCTAYGGTTCAGACGAGCTTYTGTACATGCCGAAATCATTTAYCTGGATYCATAATTCATCAAAGTACATCACTGTTTGATGCTCCTTAATTGTATTATAAGTCTGTTGGGTGAAACAACCAGTTTCTATAGTCCTTTTAACCTAAGGGGTTTGGCAGATAATGTACTTGAGAACAAGTGTGGCTCTCAATGATTAAGGTTATTCTTTAGATTATAAAAAATTTGTTCAGATGTTGATGGAATGATTCATGGGGTCTTTTATATGCTAAACAACACTGAGCTCTGATTCTAATAATAATCACCCTTAAAAATTAAGTGTTTGTATGTATTTTTGTTTTGGTTTATACCGGTATATGTCCACTTTTAATTATGGGATACAAACTTTTATTAGGAAGGCAAAAATTGTCCTTTAATTATACATTTCTAAAAGTTTATTATTTATTCGGAACAATTACAGTTTTTAGCATACGAATTAGGTTGCATGCAAAATATGGGAAAATCTGGAATAGGATTGATTAAACTCAATTGAAACGAGTCTTTTTCTACAATGATATGTTTTCCTTTGGGTTTCAGCAACTAGAATTCACTAAGGGGCCGTTTATCAATACTTACCCTGTATGTGTGGATCGGGTAATTTTCCTCACCTGATGCACATGGCAATGGCTGAAAATCTTACCCGGTAAGAGCGATGATAGGGATAGAGAGTCTTACCCGATAAGTGATGTTGTGGACTCTTACCCAAGTAAGCGTTTACCGGGTAAATTGTTGCATACAATACTGTTTTAATATACTACAAAATCTTATCTGGTAAAATAGATTATAGTGTTGACTCCTACCGGTAAATGCTTACCAGGTAAGTATTTGGGAAGATGGCCTTAAGCTTCAATGATATGTGCAATAGGGGTTATGAAAGCCAAAAACCATGCTTAAAATGCAACATGGCTTAGTCGCTCACCTTAACAATCTAGCACATAGGTGATATTATTAATAGATACCCAGTGACAAGATGGTTTTGCTCCATTACAAAAAAGGTAAAAAGACGAAGTGGCAACCAGAGGCATTATACAAGAATAACCTCTGTACAACAAAAATGTGAAGTAGCAAGACCTGAACATCCTCTTGCAAAACTTTGAAATACCCCTAGGCAAAGAATGAGGGATGGCAAAACATCTCTACCATGAGACTATGATCCCACACAACTGCTCTGCCAGCGTGTTTATTGCTTTCTTTATAAATATGTTGTATCTAATAAATATCTGACATTAAAGCTTCTATATGCCATACTATGTACACGCTATCCATGGAAATGTCATAAGACCATCTAAGCAATCCATGGATCACACTCTGTAGTGTTCACTTCTGGATTTGTGTCCTCGACAATATGTACACCAACAAATAATTTTTGCTACAGCAAAATGAATCTGCTTTGATCACACAACCATGAATGAACAACATTGACCAAATCATTAACATCCATAAGTAAACCTCCACCTGAACTTTTCCTGCTATTTGATTAGCATTCTTCTCTTTCTCAGGAAAAAAAGGATAGACGGCAGATAAGAACGTCTCTATTGTTTTAGCTTATCTTGGATCCCCCGATCTTGGGCAGTCACATAGAGTGAGTGACAAAAGATCTCCTATTGTTTGTTGGTGACTTCATTTACAAATTTAGATGAAATGTTAGGTCTTGATTACTGTGATCTGGTAAACTTATTGTTTGTGGCACAGATAGTTGAGTTTTTGGAGCTGTACTTAGAGGTAGCAGTAGTAAATTGGTTTTATGCAACCGACATGAATAAAAGGAAACTTTGATACTAATGCCCAATATTTATGTGATTAGATGTAGGGGTGAGCATAGGCGGGTACCCGCCCTTTTTGATAGGAACCGGAACCGGAACCGGCGGTTCTTGAGATATTGGAACCGGAACCGGTTAGAGCGGTTCTTGAATTTTTGGAACTGGAACCGGAACCACCGGGAACCGGTTCCGGTTCCGGGTACCCGCTTCCTAAAATATTAAAATTTTGTTATTTAGAAATAAAAAAATAAAACATTGCCAAAACACTAAATTAAATAAACAAGAATACAAATTATACGGAATAATGGTTACAAATATTGTTTAACGATTATAAACCATAATAGACTAATAGAAAATGTTCAAAGTTTAACAATTACATATTATAATTGTAAATGTTCAAAAATTAACGATTAAATACTATGAAGTGTAGTTTAGTAGAACTAGAAAGTTGATTGTGAATGAAGATGACCACGTCCTTTGAAGATGTAACCTAATATAAATTTGATATTAAAAAAAATTATTTATTTTTTTATTGAAAAACACTGGGTACCCGCCGGTTCCGGTTCAGGGTACCCGCCGGTTCCGAGTACCCGGTCCCGCAACCGGTCCTGGTGGGTACCCAGCGGGTAACGATTCCGAAAAATTGAAAACCGGAACCGGAACCGTTCTCAATCGGTTCCGTATTTTAGGAACCGGAACCACTCATATTGGTTCCGGTTCCGCAAACGGGTACCCGGTTCTGCTGCTCACCCCTAATTAGATGGTATGCTCTGTATCTTGTTCATTCAAAGGTGGTTGTAGATCTACAGTCCTGAACTTTGGACCTTGCCAAAACAGATCTCTGATTATGGTTTTGAATAGTTACATCATCTAAGATGGCAGTGAAAGGGAGTGCCCAACCATATAGATTGTATTTAGAACACATGGGAGGTAAACATGGTGTTGTGTAGCTACAAGGCCATTGCAAAGGACATATTAGGGTTATTGGAATCGAGAACCAGTGATCCATTGTTCATTTGTGTTGCTGGGTGATTTCTTTCAAGTCTTTTCTTGTATGATCCTTCTCTTATCGTTATTCTTTGCCTTGTTCATTCGTATGTTGCTTACAAAATGATACTGAAAGTTGTTATATGACAATAACTAACTTTGACCCATGCATCAATGAGATCTTTGGATTTTAATAGCAGTACATGTTGTGCAGCAAGATTAATTTCAGCGCATACTGCCTGACATTCATTCAAGTAATTGATTTATCTGAATCAGAAGAAATTGAATACTGGAATGTATTGTTTGCTGTGTCACAAATATTGAAGATTTAGGGAACAATCACATGTGATGGCTTATTACTACGGTAAGCGCTTACCGAGTAAATTATTGCAAAGAATATCGTTTTTGTGAGCTATAATCTTACCCGGTAAGTAAATGATAGTGTTAAATTTTACCCGTAAGCGCTTACCGGTAAAGTGTTTGGTAACGCTTACTTGGGTAAGAGTTTACCAAGTCATATTATCTTACTAGATAGATATGGTAGGGACCAAAAATTTTACCCGGTAAGAACGAGACAAGGACAATAGTTTACCCGACAAGTGAGGGTGATGACTCTTACCACGGTAAGCGCTTACCGAGTAAATTGTTGCAAAGAATATCGTTTTTGT